TTACAAATGCCAATTTTACTTTTCAAGGTTTAAAATTATTTATTCATGCAAATCCATTCAATTGTACTATTTACGACCGTGTAATAAAAGTAAAAGCTTAAAGTTACGGTATTTAATCAAGAAAAAAATATTTATATTATATTAACTATAATGGTGATAAATTTGTCTGATTTTACGCATATCACTTGATACGTTTTACGTGATCGCATATCACAATATTTTCATAGACATAAGCACGCCATGCAGAGGGTCGGGTTGGGGTTATCAGAAAAGAGAATAATGGGGTGCCAAAGTATGAAATATATAATAGTTAAAATGAATAAGGAATAAAAAAAAAAACATAGTTTAAAATGTTTAACAATAGAGCCAAAAACAAAATAGAGAATAATGGGGTGCCAAAATATGGAATATATAATAGTTAAAATGAATATAGAATAAGGAAAAAAACATAGTTTAAAATGTTTAACAATAGATCCAAAAGCAGCATAAAGAATAATGTGGTGCCAAAATATGAAATATATAATATGAATAAAGAATAAAGAAAAAAAAACATTGTATTAAATGTTAAATAATAAATAAATGAAAAACATCCTAGCAAGCCTCATCATGCAAATTTCATAAAACATTGTCCTCAGGTTGATAGAATTACAGAATTACCCATGAATAGCTTATTATTAATTTCCTGTTTAGAACAGTATAAATCACCATTATTGAGTTTTCCTGTAATAACTGAATGATTTAAACTGTTCTCTTTATGGCTGCTTTATCATAACAGTACAGCCAACTTAATAATCCATTTTTAATCATTATAATATTATCCAAAAGAATCTTGAAAAAATGATAATTATACTCAGGAAAAGTTCAATAAACAAGTAAATTATAAAGAAGAATTAGTAGTTATTATATGATCATTGGATGTTTAAATGAGAGAGAGAAACTTCATGCGATGGTATTATCATTGTGTTAGCGATTTGTTTGAACAGTCGCCATCTGTAAGAATACTATGACGCAGGAAACTTCAAATGATTAATTTTACTCCAAATGGTTTTAACAAAATACAGAACTCAAATGAAATTAAAAAAAGGTCTACACTGCTACTTTTGCATAGGTACTATTTCTGTACTTAAAATCTGTAGTACTGGAAATTTACTTTTAATATTTAATACTATTTCTTTACTTTAAAATTATTGTAATATTTAGGTACCTGTATTTTAAAGTACTTGATTTGTACTTAAAATTTTGGTACAGAAATAATACCAACAGTGATCACAATATTCCATGTTTGAACATCATAACTTTTAAGAGATTTTAAATAGAAAAACTTTCAAAATGCTGAAAATGTAACGGTGTAACCAAAAATCTGTAGTACTTAAATTTCAAGTACAAATCAAGTACTGTAAAATACAGGTACTTAAATATTGCAATAATTTTAAAGTAACAAAATAGTACTGAATATTAAAAGTAGATTTCCAGTACTACAGATTTTTTGTACAGAAATAGTACCTATGCAAAAGTAGCTGTGTATACACCCGGACAAAATAAAATGCTCCACAAACGGAATGATCGGAATACAACTTTCATAGCCCTGACTTTGTACAGGAATTTTCCGAAAAAAATTATGGGTTAACTCTGGTTTTGTAGATGGCTTAACCTCTCACTTGTATGACAGTTGTTCATAGTCCCGTTATATTGACACAATTGTGTCATCAAAACACTTATTGTTTAGTCTAACGTACATTCCATTGCTGCAATAATTTGTAATACCGATATGGTAACTGGGTAAAATATGGTCACCATGGTAATTTTCGATCGGTAATAGAACCCCGTCCGTTTGGCTATTCGGGATGTTTAAATTGGCACCCACGTCTGGTCAATTGGGGACGTTAGAACCTTGTAGACAAAGAGCCACGCTTACCGCACGTCAAAATACGCTTGCAAAAACTCTTTAAGGTCTAAAGATATGCCTCTATCCAACAAACTATTCTTCTCAAACGGCAGTCTAAGTTTCCCGGCTTTCATCCTTGTCGTCCAACCTTGCAGAATTGTATTAATTGTCAAAATATTCTCGTCTTAAATATGCAGGAAATGATTTCCACTTGACGGTAAAAAGTAGAATAACAAAAATACCGAACTCCGAGGAAAATTCAAAACGGAAAGTCCGTAATCAAATGTCAAAATCAAAAGCTCAAACACATCAAACGAATGGATAACATATTCCTGACTTGGTACAGGCATTTTCTAATGTAGAAAATGGTGAATTAAACCTGGTTTTATAGCTAGCTAAACCTCTCACTTGTATGACAGTCGCATAAAATTCCATTATATTGACAACAATGTGTGAACAAAACAAACAGAAATAATAGGTAAAAATGTCAAAAATAGGGGTACAGCAGTCAACATTGTGTTATAATCTTAGTCACTATAAAAACAAACAAATATGTAACAAATAAACACAAAAAGGCATATAGACAAAACACATTAGCAAAAATGAAAGACAAGAATACAAGAAATTTTACCATAGCAAAATAACACAATGACGGATGTATTAGTTCAGAGCCACGGTAAGCAGGCAGCAATCAATTGTTCAATAATTTAACCTAATGCAAGGCTATGAATTATGATTAATTGGTGTTTTTATGCGCTGTCCTATTATTTGTTATTAATTGCATCCTAAGATCATCGATTCTAATTGGATGTCCTATCATTTGTAATTAATTGTATCCTAAGATCGTCGATTTTAATTAAGTTCTTTTATTAGAAACTTTCCTTTATTATTTTTCAATTTAAGTCTTCGTTAGCCTTAAACATTATTTGCTTCCGTTAATCCATTTCCTTCAGCTTTATAAAAATATCAAGACGTTGTCAATTAAATCAAAATGAGAAAGTACAGAAGTATTGGTTCCATTAATTTGAAGTGAAACAACCCTGATTGCCTACCAAAAGAAAGGACCGTTTGAAAATGGTGAATAATATGTAAATTTTAAAGAGAGAAAACTGTATTTACGTTAAATATATTGGTCAACAAAATATGGTATAGACTTGACTGTTTTATAAAGTAAACCCAATAGGGAAAACTATGAAATTATCAAATGAAACATTTATATGCTATGCGAGTGAATATGATTTAGAAAATTTGTACAAGGCGGAAAGCCAGCAAATAATGTGTTGTTGAACAAAATGATTATAGTTATATTTAACTCTTTACATGAATATGTGGTTATATATATGTTGTGTACGAATTATCATTTTGTACAAATTATAATGTGTACAAAAAAATTGTACAAATTATAATTTGTATTTTAACTTTTTACAAATTGTAATTTGTACAAAAAGTGACTGTACACTTCGAATTGTTACAACCGCCTTTTACATTTGCAAGACAGATAACCCTGTCAACACGTTTTTAAAATTTTTTTCACAGCTTCCGTCAGGGCAAGTTGTAAATCAGGAATTTGTGTAACGGACAAAAAAGAGTCATTAATAGATTCTAGTTGGTTTCTGCTTAAGACTCCTGATAATTACCAGCTATTGTCCCTACACGACAGCCAAAATTTCCTACTTCCACAACAACACTTTGTATATTCCTCGGATCGGTCGGTGCTCGGTCATACTGTGGAATTGGGATGATAACATTGTCTCCAACAGATAACTCGCTCAGTTTCTGTTTTGTATTTCTTGTTAGGACATCCGCTTGGATTTGTTGGCCAAATAATGCGCGTTTTCTTGCACGAATGATTGGGGTTTCGACTTCCTCTGATACAACTTGAATAGTTGTACTAGTTGATCCAGTTTCATTATCAGTCACAGAATCGTTAGGTTCTCTTTCTGATTCTACCGATTCTGCATCTGTGTTTTCATCCGTGCCATCAATTTCAATTTCACTGTTCTCCTCTGAAACCTCTTTGAACATTTCCTCCAAATCTTCCTCAGTTTCAAGATTTGACAAAAGTTTCTTGGGCAAAGAAGATGAAGACAAACCTATCTTCGGATCAGAAACAAAAAGAGCATGATAAGGCGATTGATCAATTACTCTGATATGATCGATTTTTATTGGAAACGACCAGTGAACAGGAATTCAATTTATAACATCAAGGCAATATAAATGAATCAATATGACTTTAAAAATTGCTTTGAAAAGTTTCTATAGTGTGTATCAATGCTTTTTAATCACAAAATCCATACGATAAATTATTGTACAAGTTATAAGTGAATTTTAGTCACATTTTGTACAAGCACTTTTTGTACAAATTACAATTTGTACAAAATCAAAATACAAATTATAATTTGTACAAAATGATAACTTGTATACAACATATAAATTACTTGTTATTTTTCAAACATTCATGTGATAATTTAGTTTGACTATCGTGATGTAGGACTATACATAATTATATATTGTGATAGTAATATAATTGCTTCACATCACGCATGTCACGGTGCAAAGCTGTTAAGTTTGTTCGATACTCACATCATCCTGAAATTATTACTTAAAAATTATCAGTTCGGATTGGTTGCACTATGATGTGGCTGATGTATAATATTGATTAGAATCAGAGAGAAGGTTTTGAATACAAAAGATAAGGAATACAATAACAGTATGGGTATTTGAGACATGATCAACAACTATTGCTTCGTGTCGACATAATTATAGAGGATACTGAGAAACACTCCTTACCTTTTAGAAAGTTTAACTTGTTTATGTTAGTTTTCTCATAATCACGTGGTTATTTATATGTTTGGCTATGGTAACCGAACAGAGTCATGTGATCATTATGTTTGACTACTATGTCTAATGATTATACATGTATGGTTAAAGTCATATTAGTTTTGTTATTTCTGTACAGTCTCGTCATTATTTCGTTTGACTGTGATGACTGAATTGTGTTTGGATAGTGAAAGTCATTGTAATATGATACGCGCGATCATTTTATTTGACTACGGTACCTGAGCAATATTCATTTATAGTTATCATCATCTAATTTATGTTATGTTCTTTACAGAGTCACGTGATCATTATGTTTGACTATGGTGACTGAGGACTATATTTGGATGGTGCTAGTCATATTATGTTTTGTCGATGTTTTATCAGGTATGATATCTTTATCAGTAGACATAGTATGTATGTTTTTATTGATAGTATTTGTTTCTAAGTAAGCAAATACTAAAAAATATTAACATATAGTAAATATTTACTTTCTGTGTAGATGTTTTATGGTAAAATGGTTTTCAGAAAATAGAAAACACCATTACAAAAAAAAAAAACAAAGAATAGACAAACGACCGTTTAGAAAAGAAAAAAAGTACACAGATCATTAAAGATTGAACAAAACGAACCCCGTCTATAACCGAATGTGGACTTAAGATACTCCAAAAGAGCAGTCGTTCCTGCTACGCTCGGTAAAAATAGTTGCTATTACTCTTTATATTTCTTTTTGTAACTCATTTTTTACCCTTACATTATTAATCTGCTTTTCAAACTGTCGTTATTAGTTGATTAGTCATTGTTGCGGATTTTTTTCAGCTTCTGGATGTAAATGGAGTAATGAAGGTTGCTTTTCAAACTCAGAATGTTGCAGTAACAGTTGTTCATTGAAACATCCGGGAACCGAGCCTCGTTGTGAAAAAAGTTCCATCCTTGGTCCATGTTTATACAACTACCACTGTGAGCGCAATCATATTTGTGGACCTAAAAATAAATGCTGTTCAGATTACTGGAATGACTGTCGTGACGAAACTGAATGTTGTGACCCAGCACACGTTTGTCTTTATGCACGTGGATTTGTGTACAAGAAATGTCTGTTTGGTCCTGTCCAACTTAAAAGTATGGCACCTGTAAAAAACTCATTATCCGTCATATGTCTATTAAGTATTTTATTTTTATACATTTCTTTTTAAACGATTTACAAATCAAATGTGTCTCAATTTTGAATATTTGAATAAAACTTTAAAGAGCACAACTGAACTCAATTATTATGAAGGTATACTGAACAAATCAAATTATATTTAAAAAAAAACATCATACACATCAAAATGTTATCAAGGTCCACCATACAATTATACTAGTCAAATGTTATAAGGACATCACGTATACAAATCGAATGTTATGAAGACACATACTTTCTGTTTCATTTGTTCTCTTGTGGAGAGTTGTCTCGTTGGCAATTATAGCACATCTTCTTATTTTTATACACCATACACATCAAAATGTTATCAGGGTCAACCATACGAATGAAGTATTTTCCAATTAATTATACCAATCAAATGTTATCAGGACATCACGTATACAAATCGAATCTTATGTTAAACACCATACACATACAATGCTAGCAGGACACATCGTACCAATCAAAAGTTATCATGACACTCCATTTACAAATTAAATGTTACCAAGAGACACAGTAGAATTAATATATAATGAAGAAACATCGCACAAATCAAACGTTATCAAGATGTTCCATGCAAATAAAATGTAATCAGGATGCAAAAAAACAAATAAATTTTTTGCGGACACGCAGTACACATCAAAAATTATCAGGACATACCGGTAACTTAAAGATTAAATGTTATCAGGATAAATCGTACCAATCAAATGTTATCAGGACACATCATACAAATCAAATGTTTTGAAGACACACCGTTCAAATTATGAATTATCAGGACACAACGTACCAATAAAATGATATCAAGATACACCGTACAAATCACATGTTATCAGGACACCCCGTACAAATCAAAAGTTATCAGGACACCCCTTACAAATCAAATGTTATCAGCACAAACCGTACAAATCAATTTTTTCAGGACACATCGTATAAATCAAATGTTATGAAGACACACCCTACAAATCATTTGTTATCAGGACACACCATAGCAATCAAATGTTACCAGGACAGACCGTACAAATCAAATGTTGTCAGGACACACAGTACAAATCATATGTTATCAGGACAAAACCTAAAAATCAAATGTTATGAAGACACACCGTATAAATCAAATGTTATCAGGACAGACCGTAAAGATCAAATTTTTCAGGACACACCGTATAAATTGAATGTTACATTATGAGTCTGAACCCCGCTAGTGGCGAGGTGTGTTCGACTTCGACCCTTATTGAATAGAATTGAAAGTTTTCTTTATCTATAGTAAAACAATGAACGATTAAAGAAAATGAAAGACAACATTCAACGACAACTACTAAATGTTAGGCCACTTAATTGGTTCAGGGACATAAAGAATGTGACGGGGTAACACATAATTGTGAGCGCTCAATCCTCCCCTTTACTTAGACAGTCGAGTTTATCGTTTTCCATAAATCTTCAATCATGGCAGATAACATTTGGATTATTAACATCATATTGATCAGTATATAAATAACACATAGTTGAGAGGGTGTTAGAGCAGATTGTTACCCCGAGAAAACATTGTTAACTGAGGCGAAGCCAAGATTGACAGTGTCTTTTCGAGGGTGACAATCTGCTCTATCACCCTCTCAGATATGTGTTATTTAATTTATTATACTGAATGTTCTGTTATTACTGTCTATTGAGTTTCAAATTAAAAGAAATACACTATGACGTCTTGTACATTACAACCATCTGTATTCAATAAAGCGCACATTTGATCAAGCGTCTCCGTGAAGGGTAATAGAGTATTTGCCATGGGATAGAGTAAATTGTATCCCTCGTATCATACCAATCAAAGTCTGGCATTTTGAGATGAAGTAAAATAATATTAAATATGAAATTATTCACAAAGGTTGACATCACAGACAATTGATAAAAAGTGTGGTAAATTATGCATGTATTAATCTTGTAATTCACTTAATGTAGTATATTCTGTCGATACAGATGTTAATGTCGACGTTATAAAATATAAAATTAATCAGTTTCAACCAAATGCATCTGTATAAAAATGACAGTAAAACCCATCGAGGCATAAATATGATATTGGATGTCAATTGTGGGACAAGGACAACCAATTCGTACTTGGTGCAGCTCAGTTGTTAACAACTTGTTTTTAGTATAGGTACTATGCTAACAATCAAATATTGCAGCTCAGTTGTTAACAACTTGTTGTTAATATAGATACTATGCTAACAATCAAATATTTCCTGCGACAAATCGTCGTGTTAATCTTATAGTGTTATAGGGGGAGGGTTTAGATCTCACAAAACAGGTTTAACCCCGCCGCATTTTTACGCCTGTCTCATGTCAGGAGCCTCTGGCCTTTGTTAGTCTTGTATGTTTTTGTTTTTAATATCAGTTCATTTATATGTTTTGGAGTTGAGTGTGACGTCCATTTTCACTGAACTAGTACACATTTTATGTACGGGCCAGCTGAAGCCCGCTTCCGGGTGCGGGATTTTCTCGATGTGTTGAAGACCCATTGCTTGCCTTGGGCTGTTTTATTCTCTTTGGTCGGGTTGTTGTCTCGTTGACACATTCCCCATTTCCATTCTCAATTTTATCATATGTCCACTTTTGATAAAAAAAAAAGCTATATATTTGAGATCCAATTGCAATGGTCTATCTCCCTATACAACTATGATACGAGATTTCTACACTCTACGAGATTTGTCAGAACTGCACTGTTCAATCTGCACACCACACTCCCGTTGGATTAAAATAGCTCATGCATGTAGTTAGTTCATAGAAAAATATATAGTGTTTTATCTCCATCATTTTTCATGTATATTTGCTGTTTTTGTCTCAGTAGTACTATGATTAAAAGGTTTGCCTGGTTTCATCTACGTAAGTTCGATTCCTATATAACTTTTTATGTCTCAGTCAAATATTCATGATATTGAGCTTTAAACTTTGATTTAAATTTTTACCACTATTACCATATGGAAAATACATCATTATAAGATTCACACAACGAAATGTCTTTCGTGTTGAAGAGGCGTTTAACAATCATCGATTAATCAATACTGTATATTTGTTATGCTGCAGGACCGTTTTTATTTCGCATTTTTACAGAAACGCAGAGCTCAAACTGAAAGAGATATAGTTTAGATTGTACAGGTTATTTTTGTATCAGCATATTAGCTGCTGCATTCATAAAGTTTTTTCTCGTTAATTTGCAAATGCATTTTATCGTGCACTTTTGAAATACCAAATTATCCCAACCTTTGAGTTTTATTTTGCATCACAAATATTTATACTAAGTACCTAGATGCAAAGACGTATCAAGTTGTGAATGAACGTTGTGTTGTCTTCAAATTTCACCCTTCCAGATCCTTTTGCATTCCATATCATCAATAATCACTAATTATCACCAAAGTCAGGTTTTTCCCCTGTACGTTTATAATGTAATTAGGGTTGACAAATAAACAGGTAAGAACATTCACATATTATGTGAAATATCGATCGATTCGTCAAAAACCTTACCTTCAAACATTGCTCTATCTAATAACCACATGCCTTCAATTGCCAAATTGATTGTAGTTTTAAAGGGTGCATCATGAGCTACCCTTGAATAAATTAAACAAAAAATTGCTTCTTTTGAGAATAATCAAAGAACCTAAAAATCTATTTGATTTTGTCCATTAATAGATTGAGTGTGTTTGCCTGTTCTATTAAAAGGGTTTTATTCTGAAAATAAATATTACTGTTTCATTTTTTTTAACATGACTGTGTAGATCATGAAGATTTTTCAATAATATTATGCGACTCTCATTTTGATGCCACATTATGTTTTTTTTGGAATTGTTTCATAAATATTGGGTCAAATCTCTTCATATTCACAAATTGGATAACTATTTTGTGTCAAGTTTCAGTCAAGAGCTAGAGAGCGGCGTTCATCTTGCTAGAACATTAATATCACCTTTTCTGTAAATCTTTCAGCATATATACATGTAGCTTCTAAACAACAGTAATATGAATATTTTACTGAACAGTCATTCATACATCATAACTTAAGTTGACCATCATATTCTATTCAATTTAAACAATTGATTTGTCAGTTCTTGTAGAAACCACAAAGAGTGACAAACATTTTTACACATCTGTGTTTTTATAGGCTTTATTGCTCCTTTTAATACCAAGATGATTAATGGTACATAATATTAAGTTAACGAGTCGGAAGATCAGACAATTTTGTAGAAATACATTTGATAAACACTGATATAAAGCGGGATTTATAAGGTATTTTTGTATAATTTAGATAACCAATACTATCCATAGTCTTACAAATTGCCTCTGGGAAAGTTTGGAAGACATATAATGTTATCTTTTAGACCAATTTAATCTTTTGAATATGACCCTTTTTAATTTTTCAGTTAGGTCACTTAGTAAATGAGGTTGTTTTCGGCATATTTTTTGTGGTGGTTGTTCGGATGCTGATTATAATAAGATCTGATTTTTTGGCGAAAATCTAAAACGATAAAATGTTGTTATGTTCGTTTCTGAAGAAAGCGTCCGGTTTTCCCATCAAATTATAAACCACATCCAGATTTTTGTCTCAAGAAATCAAATAGACAACAACAGTTGTTTTCTATTTTTAAGTAGAAAAGGCTATCACAATCCCAATGCATGTTTTCAAATGATTAAAGGAGAGAATATTTGCACAAGCAAAACACACAAACTACATGCACTGTTAGATATAATGGAAGTGTTGCAAAATTTTCTTTGGGTGGTATACATTGTTTACATACGTAGTAAGTACTATAAAGATAATTATATTGAAACATAAAAGTCATAAACAATTAAATCCTAAGACGATAAGCAGCGAATGTGCCACGAACATAACTTGTATTATATCTATTCACTAGACGAATCATATGTGAATTTGTACTTTACAAGTACGTATATTGTATTGAAAAATTAAAAAAAAGAAAATTATTCCTACTCAAACTCTGCTAGCTATTGCTAATCTTTTCATATAATTGATCTTACGAAAAAATACTGGAAGGAAAAATCAATTACGATCAACACATTTGATCCCTGACGGAGAAGGG